AGAGTTATATTTTTATTTCATTTAACAAACCTGATATTTAGCTACACTAATATTTAAACTTTATAAGAATTAATTTGATCAAATTAGATGTGTTAATTTATACTGGCTTAAAGAATACAAATATCACAGAATGCTTAGGACCCGATTATGTTCAAACTTTTACATTATTCATTTAATTAATCTTGGCATATGATCAGTGTGTAAATTTCTTCTTGTTTCACATAAGACCACTTATGTGCAGGTACTTTTATTCGCATGGTTGATGTTCTGATTGTCATGGAAAGTTTATGGTCTTCAAATTCTAGAGGAAGAATTTGTTCCTTCCTTAAACTCATGATGTTCTATTCAAATGAGATAAGTAATGTAGATGATTTAGAACCGTATCCCCTTTGCATTACTCAGTTTAATATATTTAAATGTATTAAATGGGGTTTTTGTTATGAGAAAGCACTATGTTTTATAAGACAAAGACACCGATGATGTTGAAGTATTAATTTTAAATCTACCTAGATACATGGCTTCTATTTGTTATTTAATGATATGAATGATCCATAGTCACTAGGATAGTTTAATATTAACTTCTCTGTATATTTATTCTGAATCCAAAATTTATAACATATCTGAGTCTAAATTTGATTATAAATTTATGCAAAATTTATGCGATTTGATTATATAATTGATTATTTTATTAATATGAAATTGCGGATTTGATTACAGACTGAGCACCAAACTTTTATAAACTTGATTGAAACTACACAAAAAACACATTCATATGTTCAGTTTGGTGTATATGTTGAAAACTATGCTAAGAAATTAAAATGGTATGAAGTTTTAAACAGTATATTATATGAACCATTAGAATTAGTTAATGCAAAAACGCGAATATTAAATGTAATTATTTTTTTATATTTTTTTAGTATTTTTATTATTAATAATATTAATTTATTATTTAATTAATTAATTAGTTACAATTTATGAATGTAAATGAAACCGTACAGACAATTAGCAAAGCATTCTCAAAAGTAGCATTAAGTTCGAATGACTTATTACTCTCTGGCATTCTTGATATAGAATCTTTGAACACCTTAAATTCACCTATTAAAGAAGCCTTACGTACAAAAAAATTATGGTCTGCCGTTAAAGAAGATTTAAAGATTAAACCATTACCTGAAGGCTTAAAAGAATTTATTATTAATTATGTTAATACTAATAATGCCTCAATATCAGCTCCATTTGACAATAATTTACTTTATAAAACTTGTAGCTTGATTGATGCAATGTAAGTTTTATAAGCTTATTAGATTTAAAACATTAACTTAACTATTATTTTTAATTTTTTATTATAATTAATTATTATTATTATTTATTTGGCTAAAAGAAAAAAATTATGGAGAATACCAAAGCTGCAATCATGCTTTGCTAAATATAATGAATCTTCATGGAGCCACAATGTTTTACAACCAATAGTAAATTTTATTACAGATTACAAGGAGGCAGACCTTTGTATTAGATGGTAAGTTTAACTTGATCGATTATTAATTTAAGTTTAAACTAAATTTGTTGTAATTGCATAGGGATTCGGTTCAAAGCAAAGCAAGCTTAGAACGAAATAACTCAATAGGTCCAATAAAAAAACCTGATATTTATGGAATAATTGAAAGTGAAACTCACTCTGATCTTGAACTTTTATTGGGTGAAATATCAAATGGGCCATTCAATAAATCCCCTGAAGCTCAAAAGCACATGAAGGAAGATAAAATCAAATTATCAAAATGTGGCAAAGATGCACTAGATTACATAATGAGAAAATACATGAAATCACAAAGCAATAATTTGGAAAAACTTAATGTTTTTTTACTACATGCACATGGTTAATAACTTTGTTTTTATGCATTTAATTAATTAATTTATTTTAATCAAAGCTAAAAGTTAATACTAAATTTATTAAACTTTAGGAACGTTTCTGGAATTTTTTATCATTGATAAAAAAATAGCACCATTTTCACGTTTAAGAAAACTAGAAACTCTTGAAATTCCATTTAATTAATCAGATTAATTCAGGTATTATACACTTTTAGCATTTATATTGATAAAAATTTGGAAATCATAAAGTTAATTGAGGAGGAATGTAAAAATATAAATGATAACGAAGTTAGTGAAAATGGTGAGGAGGATGAGAATGAAAATGATGATGTTGGAGTTGAGAATGAAGATGAAGATATTATTGATAAAGGTAACATTTTTGTTTTCATTCTAACATACAATACACCAAGAACATCAATCAATTCTCAAAATATATTGTAAATTGAATATGAAATTGCATGTATATAAAAAGTTACATAAATTTGAAATAAAACCTTCGTTTGCAATGTTTGCTATTTCAAGCTTATAAAAATACAGAGAATCTTTCTTAGTTAATTAGAACCAAGGTGGTCAAAGAAGTATTTATACAAAGAGCTTCCGCTATTTCTTTGCCTCCTCTAATGCCAAGTTCAGAATCAGCTAGATTTAAAGTGGTTAGGGTAATTATATCTTCAAAAGTCAATCGATTATAACTAATGTCTATAGTAATCAGAGTTAATTCCTTCATCTCCAATTTTGTTCGAGTCAAGATCAAGAAAATAAAGTTGTATTTTTATAAAATGCCTCTGATAATATCTTTGCTCCCATAGCGCCAAGTCCACACTTACAAAGTTTTAATAAAATTAATCTGATGTTTTTACTAAGAACATATGCTAATGTTCTTACTTCTTCAAAGCTAAAGCCAATTTGAGTAAGATTTATTTATTACTGTCGATTAGGGATGGTCTTGAGATTTTAATTAAAGTTGTTCGGAATTAATTTCAGTCATCCCAAATTATAAATAGAAAGAACGATACCTTCTCTGAAACTCGGAATTTTAAGATTTGTAACATTATAGCCGGCTACTACCGGCTAATAGTCGGCTATGATGTTAACAAATTTTAAAATTCCGAGTTTCAGAGAAGGTATCGTTCTTTCTATTTATAATATGGGATGCCCGAAATTTAATTCTGAACAACTTTAATTAAAAGCTCAAGACCAAAAAATAATCTCAGTATTTAGCAAATTGGCTATGAATAATCGTAGCCGTTCGTATTATATATACCCACATACTTAATTATTTCGCTTGTATGTAATAATATAGTAATTAAAGAATTCTTAACTATTTGAATCCCGTTCTCGTATTCTAAATCTGATTCATAACTACAGTGCTTAATTCCTTCATGACTAAGCCAGTTTTCAATTCTTCTTTCTAAATCAAAGCTGTCAATTGATGTTGTATAAGATGCATATTTAAATAATAGCTTCTGTCGTTTGGAAGTGATATATTTAATGAGACCAATGAATCTTTTCCTTCAGCGTTTAATGATAAAAGGTATATTCTCATTAGGTTCCAATCTCGACAATATGATAATGGTTCTCTCCATAATATTGAGACTGCATTCCTACACCATTGACAGTTTACAAGAAGGCATGAAAATAAATCTAAATAACAGTTTTCAAGATTATTAAATATTTCAAAAAGGCATTCATTTGGTAATGTAAAAGTTGACACTTGCCTGAAGTTGTAACTTCAGGCGCCTGAAGTTACACTTGCCTAAAATTACCTAAAATTACTGATTAATGCAAGATGATCTAATTTCAGGGGTTAATTTCAGTCAAGTGCAACTTCAGGCGCCTGAAGTTGCAACTTCAGGCAAATGTCAACTTCAGGCACGAGATTTGTCATTTTTAAATAAAGAGAACAAAATTTCAAATATATCAAAATTTCTTAAGCTATTGTCTTTATAGAAGATGGCGTATACTCAGAGTATTTGGGGGAAATTAAAAATACCTATTTAATATTTTTATACATATGTATATGTACGTTTTTTAGTATTTGTGTAAGCATAACACAAGGTAAATTTAGAACTAGGATGAATGGGGTATAAAAATAATTCTCTTACGGGTTTTTCTATATTTTTTAATAAAATTTTGTGAATTCTATTCATCTTTTATGAATGTTTCAATACTATAGGGTCACGAATTTTCAGTTTGGGCTATTATTTTATGTAATTCGGAAATAATATAAATAAGTTTAAATTAATAATTCAAATTTAATAATATTTTGTAAAAATTTTATTATCTTTATATCAAAATTTAGAACAGTTAATAGATTATTGCTATGAACATTTAATAATTATAAGCGATTACTATGAAAGAACCAAATTGGTTGTTATTAATTTGAAAAAATCATTTTATAGAGTTTCTGGCAGGAACACGGAAAAAGTGCGATTTTATTTATAGGAATTTTAAATCCTTTAAATAAAATCACATTTTTTCCGTGTCCCTGGTTTCTGGTATGTAATAATTTTACTCTAATTGAGACTAGGATATTTAAAGTAACATTTATGCAAAGTGTTTCTTCTATCTCTCTTTATCTTAGTAACAAAGAATTATAAAAAAAACACAAGAATGTTAGATCAGTGTTTCTACAAAGAGTTTTGCTAATAATTTGCATTCTTTATTATCAAGTCGACCTTTATTAAGAGGTAAAAAGGTTAAAGAAAAGTTTTTAGAAAGTGCTACTGCTACCATTTTTACTCCTTCAGAACACAATTTCATTGTCTCTAATATTTAGAGAATTTACCATATTTTTATAAAGACCTTTATTGAAATAGCTTCATCTAATGCTTTTCTTCTATAATTCCAGGATTATTACCATTAATATTAAGTGAAATTTTTATAAAGAGTAATACGAATAGCTGTAGTGTATAAGTGAGCAAAGAAGTTGTGCATAATATGAGTGCCGTCAAGGGAAAACCTACAATCGGGCTTTCAAGTATATTTTGTGTACAGTTGATTATCTGTCTGTCGTCTATGGTACAGGAGCGACCGTCGATGTTACACGACTGGTTTTTCACGCGGTGTGAAACACATAAAAAAATTATTTTACAATA